GGTCTAAGCCGCTTAGGTGGGCGCTTTGCCAGCTGGTAAGAAGGCGCTGGAGGTGGCCCGCCTCTTCAGTCCACGCTGGGGGCTGGTGGCGGTTTTTGTCTCTGGTGTAAGTGTGCGAAACGGTCTGCTCTTTGGAGTACAAGAGCCTCATTTGACCAGAAAATGGAGGCGGGTGGGACCAGTGGCCGCTCCTGCCCTCAGTGATGGGGCTGCCTGCTGCTGGCTCGCAGGGATCTGTCAGCTGTACCCGCCGCTGCTCTGGGAATAGAAGTGCCCCTTTCTGATGGATTGTAATTAATTGAAGGCGTTTTAGGACGACTGTTCTTCAGGGGGCTCCTCCTCACTGCTACAGAAGGTGGAGGGCAGGCGACACCTGTGACAAGCCTGCTGGGGTGTAAATTGCTACACCTCCTAGCAGGGTCATTTGGGAAAAAAGCATCAAGAGCCTTAAATATATCCCGTGTCCCATTGAGCTGACAATGCACTTGTAGACATTTTACTCCAGGAAAAATCAGACATTGCTCAGCTCCACGTATTTTAGAGTACTGGACAATTGAAGATATTCAGAATGTTCAGAAATCAAGGAAAAGTTAAACAGAAATATGTGATAAAGACATTCATACGGTGGAAGGCCATGTAGCTTTGGGGACCAGGGCTCACAGGGCAGGGCCTGTTGGCAAGTACCCGAGCGTGTGTTTCAGTGGGTCGCACGGTCGCTTTCCAACTCCTCAGCTCTGCTTCAGTCGTGTGCAAACAGCCACACATGTGGGCAAACAGTGTGGCTTCGTGCCCCCGATGTCCTGGTTACAGAAATGGGCGGTGGGCTGGCGTCTGCTGAGCCCCACGTTAGAACAAAGCGTTATGTCAGTGGGAGCCAGGGTCGAGGTACATAAGAACAGAATGTTGGAGAGGAAATTTCCTTAAAAAGGCCACGGAAAGGACTAGTCATTAAAAGTAAATTGGGCTTCGTTCAGGTTAGGAGCTTCTGTTCATCAAAAGACCTCATTAATGGGCGAAGAGCCATGGGCAGGAGGAGGCGATGTTTACTGCAGGCCTGCCATGCAGACGGTGCAGCAGGCGCCTGCGAATCAGGAGGGAGGCGGGCCGCCTAACAGGAGGTGAAGGGCTGCCCATGGGTAAGGATGCACATGGCCTCCCACAGGCCCCTGGAGAGGCAGCTGAGGCCTTCGAGCTGATGAATACCTCCATGAGCCCGTCAGCACGGCTGCAAGGAAAAGGTGGTGGTGCCCAGTGTTGGGAAGAGTGGAGGCCAGTGGGTACTTTGCACGGGAGTGTAGTCACTTGGGAAATTCTTCAGCAAAACCTGTCAAAGGTACGCCCACCTTTGCTCCCCGGTATACACCTAACAAAATGGATGTCGCGTGCTGTAAAAGGCAGGCATGAGAACGTTTATCGCAGAAACCTGGTCACTACCCAGATGTTTGTTAACACAATGGATTTTGTACATGGCGATGTTATGGGACAGTGAAAAGTAAGTACTGTTTCGTGTTACAGAATGAATGAATTTTTCAAATGTAATACTGAGTTTAAGCAATGAGACAGAAAAAAAAAAGATTCTGTGTGTGTAAAGTTTAGAAACCTGATAGGCAAAACCTAGCAGGTGTCAGGAGTTAGGGAAGACCTCTGACAGTAGGTCAGGAGCAAGGGTCAGTGACTGGGAGGTCCCCAGGGTGCCCTGAGATGTGTTCATTTTGTCCATTCACACACATATTTGGGCAACGTGTGCACACACACGTTATATTTCAATACATGTTTATTAAAGAGTTTAAATGATGTGATCCAAATGTGTTAGAACAAATGTGCGTGAATGTGTAGTTTATGATACAGACAGATGCTAATTGATGCCTAAAGGGCGATAAAGGGGATGTGTGTGCTCACACAGCTGAGAAGGGGCGGCTGGCCTTAGGCTGACTTTGTCCTCAAGGCTGAGCACAGCTGTCCTTGAGTCAGCTCCTCATGGTGGATCTGCTGCTCGTGGTTCTCGTGGTCCCAGGATGGCTGCCACAGCTCCAGACTGCACGTTCTCTTTGATTCACAAGCAGCAGCAGAGACGCCCTGTACCTGGCTTTTGTGCCTGCTTCTGGTTCCCCCTTCTTCCCCGAGCCTGTCGGTCACGGCAGCTGGTGGGATGGTGGGGCATACTGGCCCATCAAGGCTTGTCCTGAAGGAAGGGGATTGCTCACCCTGAAGGAGGAGCCTCAGATGTGGTGCCCAGAGGCTCTTCAGGGCGCTGTTTGGCAAAGGATGCACAGACGTTTAACAGCAAACACGGCGACGTCCACTGCGGACGTGGAGACACCCTGAAGAGTGGGCGGCACTGCTGCTGTGTTTGTTCACTTGTCCACTGTTAGGTGAAATCACTCACTGCAAGTTTAGGTGCCTGCTGGGGACGGGTACAGTGACTCTCAGCCGGTGCTGCTGGGGGGCTGTGTGAGCGGTGAGCGGGCCCCGCTTGGGCCACGTCCACCCTCCTGAGGAAGTGACCAGTGAAGGGATGCCCGAGGGGTGAGGAGGGACACACAGGGGATAAGCTTCAGAGCGTCTAGGAGAAAAGCAAGGAGAAAATCCCTCTTATGCAGGACACAAGAACTGCTAAATATAAATATAAAAGGAAAACTTTGTCCTTTGGACTTCATGAACATTTAAAACTGCTATTGTTTGAGACATTAAAAAGGCTAGCCACAGGCTAGGAGAATATAATCAGAGTGCATATATTTGACAAAAAGACTTGCATCTCGAATGTATACAGCACTCATAAAACTCAGTAAAGAAAGCAAGCGACTGGTTAAAAAAAATGGGCAAAGGATTTGAATAGACGCTTCATCAGAGAAGAGAAGCAGTGGCAGAGGGTCTGTGAAAAGATGCTCAACATCGTGAATCATTTGGGAAATGAAGTAGAAGCCCTTGGCAAGGACTGATGTCTAGAGATGGACAACACTCTAAGGTTCTCAGACCTTGTTAGTTAGTATGGAAAACGGTATCATCCTTCTGGGAAAAGATCCGGCAGTTTCTGAGAAAATTAAGCATACACCTACTTTATGACCCAGTTACCCAGGAGAAATCAAGTGTATATCGTAAAAGCCTTGTACAAGAATATTTATAGCAGTCGTTATTTAAAATAACCCCAAACTAGAAACAACTCAAATGATCAGCAAAGAGTGAGTGGCTTCACCGACTGGTTTAACCATACCCTGGAAATTCCACTCAGGGAGAAAGTGGGGGGGAGCCACTGCTGGTTTCAGAAAGAACCTCTGGAGACAGCGGTCTATCACATGGCATCTGTCTTTCTCCTTCTGGCTTCACTTTCAGTACGATAACCTCTAGTTGCATCCGTGTTGCCGCAAATGGCATTCTTTCATTCTCTTTTTATGGCTGAGTAATATTCCATTATTCGTGTGTGTGTGTGTGTGTGTGTGTGTGTACGTGTATATATACACACATATATGACATCTTCTTTATCCATTTATCTGCTGACGTCTAAAATATGACACAAATGAACTTATCTACAAGACAGAAACGGACCTACAGACATAGAGGTCAGACTTGTGGTTGCCGGGGAGGACGGGGGAGGGAGGGAGGGGGGAAGGCCGGCGTTGGGGGTTGGCAGAGGCAAACGGTTACATTTAGACTGAGTAAACAACAAGGCCCTGCTGTAGACCAGGGAACTGTGTCCCATCTCCTGGGATAAACCGCAGCGGGAAAGGATCTAAAAGAAGAATGTGTGTCTGTGTGTAGCTGAGTCACTTTGCGGCACAGAGACTGGCACAACATTGTAATCAGCGGCATTTCAGTTAGACAGAAAGACAGCACGCGGGGCGAGGGCAGCCTTGCTCCCGGGCTCAGGTCCCCGCGATTCCATTTCCCTGCGGTTCTGGGGTGGCAGCCGAGATGCCTGGGGAAGAGGGAGTGACTCCCCGCTCCTCCTGGCCGAGGGGGGCACCGGGACGGACTCGGGCTGACAGGGAGCTCTGATCTTCACGGGGCAGTCGTCACACAGCTGTGCACCTCTGTCCCCTGTCACGGAACTGCTTCCGTGAAGCAGGAACCTTCTATGCTGGGTGTGATGCGGCAGTAGTGTTGACTGAAGAAGTGGAAAATGGGAGACAGCTGTCTGGGCTCTTCGTGGCCGCCCTTCGCTGCCTGACCCTCGCTGAGTCTAGACCGGGACTGCGGCTGCCAAGATCCAGGAGTCTTTGGAGAGAGGAGAAAACGCACACGTGTGCGTACACAGACACAGGGCCACACACGTGTCTGTATGCGTATATGTGTCCGTGGACACACGTGTAAGCACACACGTGCATAGCTGTCGGGCCTGCAGACGTCTGCCCTGTCCGAGCTGTACGAGGCACGCCCAGACGGGGTTTCGTCTCTCTGCCAGCCCGCCGCCGGGTGCCCGCCCCTCTCTTCACCCCCCGGGAGGCTGCAGTGCCCGCGCAGACCCCTGGGGAGCACGGGCGGGACTGCGGCACCCGAGGGCTCAGCTCACTGCTTTTCTCTTATGTCCCTTTTCCCGAGACTTGTTTGTCCTCCCCTCTATCGCGTTTCAGAGCACCACGCTCGTTTCAAGATGTGAACCTTTTGGGAATTCCCTGGTCCAGTCGTTAAGACTCTGTGCTTCCACTGCAGGGGGCATGGGCTTCATCCCTGATCGGGAAACTATCAGTGAGATCCCAAATGTGGTGCAGCATGGTCAGAAAAAACAGAATGCAGTTTTTAAAGAAAGAAAAGATGTGAGCCCTTTGATTAAAGACTTCTCACAGAGGCTCCGTGAGTCGGCGTTGCTGCTCAGTCGCTGAGTCATGTCCGACTCTTTGCGACCCCGTGGACGCAGCTCACCAGACTCCCCTGTCTCCTGGAGTTTGCTCAGACTCATGTCCATTCAGTCGGTGATGCCATCCTTGAGTTACCATTAACCGTATATACTTACTTATTCCACGAGTTACTCTTAACCGTATATTCTGTGTTTTTTTCTCACATAGGGTTACCTTCCTGCCAATGTAGACCGAAGACCAGCCACTCTCCAAAGAAAGCAGAAAGAATATTTTGCTTTTATTGATCACTATTACGATTCCAGGAATGATGAGGTTCACCAGGACACCTATAGACAGGTGGGAACACGTCTTCTTTTTTCTTGTTACTCGAAGTTCTTTCATTTGGTGACGTCTCTCTTGTTGGTGGAAGGCCCCTGATTGGGTCACAGACCTTTATTTTCTAGCAAATAAGTAAATGTGAAACCTGATAAAGGTGAATTGCCCCTAATAGTGGCAACTTGGGCATTTCCTGTTCCTGCTACAGGAGTGGGAAGGTATTTTCATTGGAGCCACAGAACAGAGAGCCCAGAGCCCTGGGTGGAGAGTGTCCTGTGACTCAGGGATCGTGTGACCTGAAGGTCACGGGTGGACATCCCTCTGGGTCAGGTCAGAGGAGTGAGTCCCCGGGCCCCCGGGCGCTGTCCTTTGCTGCCTTCAGGGGCGTAGTTTACGCTGAGAGAGTGCTGCTCAGCTTGGCTCTGGAGGGACGCAGTTCCGTCCATAGTGGAGGTGTAGCCAGCTTATCATTTAGCTATTTAGTTTAATACAAAATGGGTATAATTATGGCCTCTTGAGTAGTCAGTTGACAGACGGTGTGCATAATGGGAAAAATACTTAAAATTGATTTACGGTTCACCGTGCATCCAGAATTTGCTGTTGAAATCGCTGGAGGCCTCCCTAATTCTCATTGTCTTTGTACAGTGTGAGAATTCAGAACGGTCTGTGCCGCCGTTCAACAGGAAGACAGGGCTTGGCAGTCCTGCCCCGCACTCTGAGATGAGCGTCTGGGTTTCCCGAGGCATGTCAGAGGGAGCGTGACCTCTGACAAACCCGGCCTCTGGGTGCAGGAGTGTTGCTGAGTTTTCCGCTCAGACGCCGACGCCCCGGTCTCCTTGGCAGTGTGGCGCAGTGCTGCCCAGAGGTCCCGAGACAGGCCTTCCCCTGCCTGGTCATCACGGGTCCTCTAAGTTGTAGGTTCTGGGACAGCACTCTCCCCACAGGGGAGCCCTGACAGCCCTAGAGGAAGAGTGACTCGTGGTGGGGGCAGGGAGGTGGCAGGGACCCCTCCCCGCCCTCCAGGGTGGGCTCTCCTCGGCCTCTGGCCCTGCTGCCCGCACTGGGACTCGTCCTCTGTCTGCAACTCCTGCGGCTCCCAGGCCCCAGGCGCTGCCCCCTGTCCCTGGGAAACCGAGTTCTGATGCAGCTTGCATGTGGATTGGGTCAGGGAAATGCCGGCTTACCTGGCTATTTTTCCACTCTGCTGGCTTTCGTGAGTGGGTACATTTATTACTGTTTTGCCTGTGTTTTTGCCATGTTTTTATTCCAGAAAAAGACGTCCACAGGATGACACCAGCATCTATCTGCAGGATTTACCGGGCTGTGTTCTGTTATGAATTTCTTAAGGGAAAGTTAATTAAAGACAGGTTGCATGCATCTTTAGTCAGTTACTGTGATAGGTAATAAAAAGCCCCCCTGTTACTGTGAGTCCCCCCGATGTTTCTACGTTCGTGTCAGTATGACCGAGCACAGGGTGCGCTGCTGGGGCCTGCCTGCTCTGGGCCGAGTGCGCCTGCCTCTTGGAGGTGGACCCTGGGCTGTCCTGCATGGCCGTTTCAGGCGCTCTGTTAGGTCAAGATGGAGCTGGCCCGGCTCTGGGGCTTGGGCACCCTGGTCTCCGTTCCCTGCTGGTCACTCTCGGGGATTGACCCATGAGCTGACCTTGGCCGCCCGTCTGCCCGCGGGCCTGGCCCTGCACAGCCCTGGGCGGCCAGGACCCCGTCTGCTTCCCGCCCTCTCTTGCCCTCTGTTCTCTCGGTTTCTGCTCACCCTGTGGGTGAAGCTGTCACGTCCAAAGCATGAAGAGTCGGTCCCAGCTCACCCGGTGTGTCCTCCCCGCCCTGCGGGTTCTGAGGACGTCGTGGCCACCCCAGCCGGCCCAGTCCTGTGTGTGGGGGCGAGGCGTGCCGAGCTGGTGCTGGGGTGCGCTGCCCTGCCCCCCAGCCAGCACGTGGCGGGCAGCTCCTCTGGTAGAGAGGTTGTGCTGGCCCCTGGCGTGCCCCGTGGCTCTGATGGCGCGGGGTCAGTGCTCTGAGGTGGCTTTGGCGGACACCCTGGTCACGGGTGGGGCCTGGAGGGTTCTGGTCTCCTGCATGTGGCCAGCCACAGGGCTCCGGCCCCAGCAGACTATAGTCCTTGTCCTCGGGGTCTTCTTCCCAAACCAGGGGTGCCTGCGCATCTCGGCATTTAGATCCCTCCCCGCGTTGCTCAGCGGGTCTGAGTCAGGTCGTTTCTTGTCTTCTTCTGATGCTGTCTCCTTTCCAACTTTCCCTATTGCCTTGTAGTCCCTGCTCCCGGAACTTGCTAGTCTGCCGGCCCCTGACCCCAGCCCAGTTCTCACCCTGGGCAGTCTCACTGCCTCCCTTGGGACCACTGATGGGCAATGGGTTTCTGGGTTCTCCCCCAAGGGGAGAGTCCAGGGTGGGCCCCCGCGAGTGGGAGCAGCTCCCCGGTCAGAGGCGTGCAGCTCTGGGGCCATGCATCCCCCAGCAGCCCTCCAAGCGGTGGGGCGGGGCTCTGATGGGCGAGGATGCAGAGCCCGCTGGGGTGGCCAAGGCCACGGTGCTGGCAAGGCGGTGAGGAGGCCCAGGCCCCGTGGGTCTCAGGACCCTCGTGGTCACGGGCAAGGACGGCCGTGGACCTGCATCGCAGCCCCCTCCCCATGGCATCACGACGCCCGCCTTCCCTCGGCCCGCGTGGCCATGTGCCTGGGTGGATGGGGATGGCGGTAGCGTTGGCTGCCCTGGGGCGTTCACGCGGGGTGCTGGGCGCCCTGAGCAGGCTTACGGGAGCCGGAGGTACCGCTGGTGCTGCTCTGTGATGACTCTCCTGTCTGACGGCGGTCAGGAGGGGCCCGCTGTTCCTCCCAGGGCTTTTGAAGTGCTGCCTCTGAGCAGTGCCCGAGATTCCCCCAAGGACTGTGTACAGCGCAGAAAACTGTGTCCCAGGTTCCAAGAAGAAGCTGTCACGGCCGAAAACTTGTACGCTATTGATGTACTCGAATTGCTCCCTGTGTCAGAGGCTGGAAATCAATGCTTACTAATTGCTATGGATCCTGTTACTAAATAGCTGAGGGCCTGCTCTGTTTCTAGTCAGCCAGCCGCCGTTACCGGGTTGGGAAGTGTGGAGCAAGGCTGTCGTGCCGGGACGGGGTGGGGAGCCAGGCGGATGGGACCTTCCCCCCCGCCACAGGAGAATGCCTGGCCCAGAGAGAGCTTGCAAGATCCCGAGCACACCCGCTGCTGTTGCTCAGAGTCGCTGTTTTAATCATCACGCCTGCCGCGACATTTGTCAGCTTTTAAAATCCATGTGTCTTTCTCTTCTGTCTCCAGATCCACATAGACATCCCTCGAATGAATCCCGAAGCACTGATACTTCAGCCCAAAGTGACAGAGGTAAGAGCTGGGATCTGGATGTCCTGCGGAGGGAGCCCCACGCCCGCCGTCCCAGCGGCTTTACCCATGGCGGGGGCCAGGGTGGCCCCTGGGGCAGAGTCGCCAACACGAAGCGCTCACTGTTCTTTTTATTGTGCAGACATCGCTGTGTATGAAAGAACACAAGTGGAGCGTATGTGTGTCTGTGGTTTACACGTGTGGGCCCCCCACCCAGTGTAGGGCTGCGAGCCCCTCCCAAGCGCGACCCACCTGCGCGTGGCCGGTCACGTGGAGGCTGCCTGCCGCTCTCAGCCGCCTCCAGGCCCCTCCCCAGGAGATGCCCGCTCTCCTGCCCTGTGTCTCCCTCCCTCTCTTCACACCTTTAATGCGCATCACGTCACCCGGGGAGCCACGGTCTGGAGCTGGATCATTCCTCTGTCTGTGTGGTCTGGTCTCTGTACCCTGACTTTCTTCACCCACGTTATTTCCTCAGGTTCAGCCAACCTGTGTGTCCATCTGTCAATCAGATATCCCACAGTTTCTCTTGCCTTTTCCTGTTGGTGGACGTTTGGGTGGGTTCCAGGTTTTGCTCTGGGACCAGTGTTGCCTGGAACCTTCACCTACAGTTCTGCAGGTGCCCACTGGCAGGGCTTTCTCAGTACCATTTATGAAGAAGTAAGGTGATGACGCAACGGACATGAGTTTGAACAGACTCCGCGGCCTGATAAAGGACAGGGGAGCCTGGCGGGCTGCAGTTCGAGGGGTCACAAAGAGTCTTGGCAACCTAGCAACAACAGCAGAGTGTGGCACGGTTGGGTGTCAGCCTGTTAAACTTCCCAGCTGACGTTGGGACGGCCTCCTGAGGGCTGTCCCGCCTCCGCTCTCTCCGGCAGAGGGCCAGTCATCTGGCGCTCACAGCCCTGCCGGCTCTGGGAGCTGCCAGGCCTCTCAGGGTGTCTCTCTCTGGTGACAGTGTTCATTCTCCTGTCTCTGTCGCCCGTGGAGTGAGCATCTCTTCCTGTATTTGTGCGCTCCTGTGTCTCCTTCCGGGAAATGCCTGTTTCTGTCTTTGCCTGATCTCTTGGGGGTGGTTGTTGCTCTTTATATATTAGGGATTCTGACTCTCTGCCACTTGGTAGGGGCAGATCCCTCCTCCCGCTCTGTGGCTGGTTTCTGACACTTCCTCCTTGGTCACAGTCTGAAGTTCTCAGTTGCTGTGGCTTTGAGCGTACCCATCTCCTCAGTTAGGACTGGCTTCCTGAGGAGACGTCCTGAAGCCCTTCTCCCTCCCTCATCTTCACCTCAAGGTTCTGAAGTGTTGCCTTCACGCCAGTTTTAGTTCATCGGTGTCCTGTGGCCGTGTGTGCTCTGAGGCGGGAGTCCCCTGCTGCTTTCTCCCTTGGTGGCGGTCTCGCTTTTCTGCCCACGTTTGCAGGGTCCCCTCTGTTCACGTCTTTTTCACGTTTGCGGAGATCTGACCTCCGATTTGGCTTCCCTGGTGGCTCAGTGGTAAGGAATCCGCCTGCAGCGTAGGAGACTCGGGAGATGCAGACTCGGTCTCTGGGTCGGGAAGATGCGCTGGAGGGGGGCCGGCTGCCCACTGCAGTATTCTTGCCCAGAGAACCCCAGGGACAGAGGAGCCTGGTGGGTCCCTAGGGTCACAGAGCCGAACGCGGCTGAAGAGGCTGAGGGCGAGCGCACGGACGCGCGGGCTTGTCCTGCCCCAGCGTTCAGATTGCCTTTCCTTCAGCTCGCTCATGCCTGATCCACTCAGCTGCACCGGAAGTCTCAGTGTGTGGTGGGGAGTGTACGTAACACGCCCGCGCCACCCACTTTCAAAACCGGTCAGGTCATCTTAGGCTTTACTCCTCCATTGAGCCCTCGGGGGAGCCCATGGAAGTCCCAGAATCAGAAGGCCAGGGTTTCTTTCTCTTTTCAAATTGAAGTAGAGTTGACGTTCAGTGTTGTGTATTGCAGGGTACAGTGTAGTGATCCACAGTTTTAACCTTGTGCTCCACTTGCGTTTATTATAAAACACCGGCTGTGTGCGCTGTGTTGCACAACAGACCCTGACGGCGTACTTTATCCTACGAGGTTGTTCCTCTTCAGCCCGCCCGCCCTTCCCTCTGTCGCCCCTCGCTGTTATTTGCATCTGTGAGCCGGCTTCTTTTCTGTTGCGTTCACTGTTGTGTTTTTTAGATTCTGCTCTTGTTTGTTCCTAACGTCTGTTTGATTTGTGATTGGAATTGCACAGAATCTATAGATCAGTTCGGGAGAACTGACCTGTGTATGAAATTTAGTCTTCATTTTCATGAACATGCTAATTCCCCATTTTCTTAGACCATTCTTTAATGCCTTTCAATGAAGTTTTAGAAATTGCTCCATAAAAGGTCCCATGTATGTTTTATTAGATTTATTCTTCATTGTCATATTGTTTGTTGCTATTATAAATGGCATCTCTTTAAAATTGAGTTTTCTCATTGTTTTAAATATTTGTTTTTCATCTTGATTGCTCTAGTAAATGCAGTTTTAAATTTTGATATCTCTTGCTGTGCAGTGTTTGTTAAAAAAAAAATGATTATTAAAGCCAAAGTGCTTTTAGATTACAAAACACAAAAGGAGAAAATTAGTTTCCCACAGAAGTAGTCATTTTGAGGTACTTCTCTTTGATTGTCCTTTTCAATAACTGTGCTTACTGTATCTGGAAAATGAGAGATCACATATTATAACCTCGTTTTAAGGTGTTTTTTTAAATGGAAAATAGAGCCTGCCATGCGACCTTTAGTTTATCTTTACCGTTACGTTTCTCCTGCCAGTGGAGACTCTCTGTAGAGCTGAGCTTGTGGGCTCCCAGGTTCAGAGGTGGGATCCAGGCCCCGCCGGCCGGGGTCGGCTGGTGTCACGCGTGACAGGCTGGGACCTCGATCCCTGTGGAAGCCCCTGGGCCCCGGCACGGGGCCCCCGCGGCCCCTCCCTCAGCTCCCACACGTTCCTCCAGCTGCTGCACCCCTGCGCAGGGCCCGGCCCGGGGGTGCCTGCCTGTGGGGGAGCCAGGGGACGGAAGCAAGGGGCTTTAGGAAAAGTCTAGAAGTGCTGGTCTCAGTGAGAAGCGGCAAGAGTCAGGTGCTCGTTTGTGGCATTGCAGGGGTTAGGCTTGGACACATTACAGCTGGTCCATGATGGTGCTGGCTGGGCCTGTTAGGACGTACATCTGCCCTAAACTGTCATGTGCAAGTCTAGGGAAGACATCTAGGCGTGGAGATGCAGGGCGGTATGGTAAGTATATGTTTGTACACTTTATGAGAGGCTGCCAAACCCTTTCCCCGGGTGGCCCTGCCGGTTTGCCATGTGTGAGAGGCCCAGTTGCTCCACGGCCTTGTCATATGTGGTATTGCCAATCTGTTTAATTTTCAGTATTTTAAAAAACAGCTGTGTAGTGGCATCTTACGGGGTTACAATTTGCATTTCCCTGTTGACTACGGATGTTGAGCATCTTTTCATCTACTGATTTGTCATGCTCAGATCTTCTTTGGTGAATTGTCTGTTCCATTTTTTGGCTCACTGTTTAATTGCTTTTGAAACCTTTAGCCTGCCTGTTCCCTGGCCTCCCCTAGGCCTTCTGAGTCAGGCTCCTGGGATGGACGCTGGAAGTCCCTATTGGAAGGAAGCACAGACGGAGGTGGAGGCTGTGGACGGAGGGAGAGTCTTTGCGGGGGTGGGACCTCCTGGGGTGACCTACTGGGTGACGTCCCCAGGGACCTGGCACCTGGGGCTCGGCTGCCTCCCAGCCTTTGCCCTGTGCTTCCGCCTTGATCCACCTGATCAGACCTTCTGTCTGTCCGTTTCCTCTGTTTGCGGGGCCCAGAGCATTCGTGCACAAGTACCAGTCGCATGAAGCCGTCAGGTCCTCCCTTCCTCACCTGCGACCTCAGGTGTCTGCTTCCTCTGGGCCTTGTCGCAGACGCCCCGCCCCACTTTCGTTCACACTGTGGTCGTCTCGGTGCTTACTCTCTGATCGCGTTTTCTCCTCGTGGATGAGGTCTCACTCTGCCTGAACGTCACCTCCCCGGGAGCAGGGCCGGCGCCCGAGTGCCTGCAGCCTCACGGGACTTAGGAGGTTTTGTTGATGTGAGTCATTAATCACTGACGCTGAAGCTCCAATACTTTGACCACCTGATTCGAAGAACTGACTCATTTGAAAAGACCCTGATTCTGGCAAAGACTGAAGGCAGAAGGAGAAGGCGACGACAGAGGATGAGGTGGTTGGATGGCATCATTGACTCAATATTTGCATAAACTTTGGGAATTGGCGATGGACAGGGAGGCCTGGCGTGATGCAGTCCATGGGGTCGCAAAGAGTCGGATACAACTGAGCGACTGAACTGAACTGAAGAGTAATTAATCTTTTTATCCAATGTTGTTATTTGAAAGCAAAGTTCATAACTTTCTGGCCCTCGCTCTTTTTATCTTCTCTCTGTGGAAATAACCTCAGCCTTTTACTTGGGAAAACGCGGGCTCTAACCCGAGGCCCTCTGACTCGTGGGCTGGTGCAGGGAGCTCAGGGGAGGACCTCCTTCAGATCTCACAAGCTGGGCCTTCTCACGAGATGAGTTCATCAACTCGTGAGTTCCTTCTCGTCTGTAATTATTATATTATCTGCCCTCTGGCTCTCTGCTTCTTAGAGCAGTTTCACAAATTAGGGAAATAAGATGCTTTTTCCAATTAGCCACGGAGAAGTGACGTCTCATTACATTTAAACAGACACAGAGGACAGTGAACGTGCAGGCCTTTAAGACCCCATTATCCACGGATGGTCCTTGCGGTTGGGGTGACGAGTTCTCCGTGGCCCCGCAGGATGGTCGTTTTCTGGGAGATATGTATCCGTGGAGCACAGATGTGCTCATCCTGGACTCTTCCCCTGACTGTCAGCTTTCTGCAGACAGGCTTCCCGACTGGAGTGTGTGTGTGCAGGGGCGTGGGCCCGCGTGGCGTCCGGGGCCGAGGCGGCTGGGGAGAAGCCC